TTTTATCTCTCTCTGGCAAGTGCATGGGCCCTCTAGCAAATTTAAAAAAAAAAATCTCATTGAGATAAAATAGTCTTAACATAAAACTCACAATTTTAGTCATTTTTAAAAGTACAATTTTTAAAAAAAAATTTTTTCTGGAGAGGGTTTTGCTATAGGGCGTGTGCGCTTGCCAGAAAGACAGAGAGAGACAGAGAGACAGAAAGCGAGAAATCACCCCCCATGCCACAATCCCTTCTCCTCCATTCTCTCAGGATCTCGGGCATGCACACACACGCACCCGGCGTGAGTTTAAGCCACCGGGTCTGGGATTCGAACCACAGTCGACTATGTGGGAGTCCAGTGACATAGCCATTACACCAATTGCTGGTTCCTGAAAACACATTTTTCTAAGAAGCACATAAAACATTCTCTAGGATTGATTATATAATAATGTACAAAATAAGCTTCAATAAATTTAAGTACGTATGAATAGAAATCACACTATCACTTCTGGTCACAATTGGATAAAAGTGGAAATCACCAAGGAAAACTATGGAAAATATACTAATAAATGGAAACTAAATGTTCTCCCAAGTGACTTTGGAGTTAAGGAAGAAATTAAGAAAGAAACAGGGACTAGCAGGTGGCATGGTGGTTAAGGCACTGGACTCTCACATGGTTGAGCAGGTTCAAGTCCTGGACCTAGTGGCTTGATCATGCCAGGTGTGTGTGGGCATGCCTAAAATCCTGAGAGGAGAATGTAGGAGAAGGGATTATGGTGTGGCCATCCTCTGGGGGGTCACTGTCCCTCTCTCTTTCGATCTGGCAAACACATGTATCCTATGGCAAAAACCTAAAAAAATAAAATAAAATAAAAAATAAAAAAAAAAAAAAATTCTTGGGGCCGGCAGGTGGTGAGGTGGTTGAGAACACTGGACTCAACACATTAGACTTGAACTGTAGTTCGAGTCCTGGATCTGGTGGCTTGCTTTCTCACTTTCCCTCTCCCCTTGTGTCTCTCTCTGATCAAACTGGAAAATAATAATAGTAATAAATAAAGTTTAAAAAATTCTTGAAATAGGGAACCAGCAGTTAGCGTAATGGCTATGTCGCTGGACTCCCACGTAGTCGACCGCGGTTCGCGTCCCGGACATGGTGGCTTAAACTCACGCTGGGCACGTGTGCGTGCATGCCCAAGATCCCGAGGAGAATGGAGGAGAAGGGATTGCGGCGTGGCCATCCCCTCTGGGGGGTGATTTCTCGCTTTCTGTCTCTCTGTCTCTCTCTGTCTGTCTGGCGACCGCACACATCCTATAGTGAAAAACCTCTCAAAAAAAATTTTTTTTGAAACAAATGAAATGAATGGAAATATACTTATGAAAACCTATACAATACAGCAAAAGCAGTACTAAGATGAAAGTATATAGTAGTAAGTGCCCACACCAAAAAACAGAAAGATGGCAAAAACAAAACAAAACAAACACAAAAAAACAAACCCTAATGATACATCTTTAAGAACTGGAAAAACCAAAACAAGCTAATCCAAAGTAGCAGAAGGAAAGAAATGGTAAAGATCAGAGCAGAAATAAATGATATTAAGACCTAAAGATCAATACAAAAAAAGAAAGAAAGAAAGAAAGAAAGAAAAGAAAAGCTGCTTTTGTTTGTTTGTTTTACCGTAAGGTACATGAGCTCACTGGAAATAGAAAGAAAGGGAAAGTGAGAACACCCTCCACCCCAGGGGGATGGCAGCACCGTCTCTTCTCCTCTCTCCTCCTCTGGGCCTCTGGGCCTGCACACACAGGTGCTTGGCGCTTTCCAGGCTGCTGGCTCTGGGACTCCAACTGCGGAGCCGGGCAGGCAGGAGCCAGCACCTTAACCACCAAGCAACCTGCTGGCCCCGAAAGAGCTGTTTTTTTTTTTTTTTTTTTTTGAAAAGATTAACAAAATTGACAAACTATTAGCTAGACTAAATAAGAAGAAAAAAGAGAGAATAAATAATCTTTTAAAAAACAGAAATAGAAAAAGAAAAATTACAACTGATATCATAAAAATACGAAAGACTGTTTGGAACTGTTTTGAACAATTATATACCAACAAGCTGGAAAATCCAGAGGAAATGAATAAATTTTTGGATGTATTCCATCAACCTAGATTGAACCAGGGAAAAGTAAAAAGTCCAAACAGACTAATAACAGGTATGAGAGCGAATCAATAATAGTCTCTCAACAGAAAAAGTCCAAATCCAGAGGTCTTCATTGCCGAATTTTACAAATCGTTTAGAGAAGAACTAACATCAATCCTCTTCAAAAAATTCCAAAAGATCTAAATGGAGGGAGTCCTCCCAGATTCATTTTATGAGGCCACCATCACTTTGAAAACAAAAGCAGGCGGAACCAGCAGTAACGTAATGCCTATGTCGTTGGACTCCCACGTAGTTGACCGCAGTTCGCATCCCGGACCCGATGGCTTAAAACTCACGGGCGCGTGTGCGTGCATGCCCAAGATCCCCAGAGGAGAATGGAGGAGAAGGGATTGTGGAGTGGCCATCCCCCCTGGGGGGTGATTTCTTGCTTTCTGTCTCTCTGTCTCTCTCTGTCTGTCTGGCGAGTGCATGCTCCCTATAGCAAAAACCTCTAAAAATAAAAAAATTTAAAAAAAAAAAAAAGCAGGCAAGGACATAACAATAAAAGAAAACTACTGACCAATATCCCTAGATGCAAAAATCTTGGACTAGAGCCAGCAGGGGTGTGGTGGTTAAAGTGCTGACACATGACTGACAGTGGTTTGAGTTCTGGATCCAGCAGCTTGAAAATCACGTCGGGTGCCATGTGTGTACGTGCCCAAAATCCCTAGAGGAGAGTGAAGGAGAAGGGATTGCAGCGTGGCCATCTGCTCCCTCTCGTTGTCTCTCTTTCTCTTTCTCTCCCGGGTGGGTGCACATGCCCTATGGTTAAAAACCTTAAAAAAAGAAAAAAAGAAAAGAAAAGAAAAGAAAAAAAAACTTCAACAAAATCTTAGCAAACCAAATTCAAAACATATCAAAATAGCATATCATGATTATTCGGCATGATCAAGTAGGATTCATCCCAGGGATGCAAAGGTAGCTCAACATTCACAAAACAATATATGTAACATATCAAGTCGACAGGAGGAAAGATGAAAAACCATATGGTCATATTAACTGATACAGTAAAAGCATTTGATAAAGAACAGTTTCCCTTCACCATTAAGACTAAAAAGAAAAAATATATAGAGAAGGTATATACCTTAACACGACATAGGCTTCATATGACCAACCCACAGCTAACTTCATACTAAGAAGAAAAGTTAAAAGCTTTTCACTACAGACTGGAAGAAGACAGCAATGTTCACTTTCTCCACTCCTCTTCAGCACAGGAACAGGAGTACCGCAAGTCCTAGTAAATGCAATTGGGCGAGAGAAAGAAGGCAAAGGCATTGTGGTAGGAAAGGGAAAGGTGACATTATCCCTGTTTGCAGAGGGCACGATCATTTGCATAGAAAAACCTAAAGAATCCACCAAGAAACTCTTAGAGCAGATACTTAAGTTCAGTGAAGTCGTGGTATATAAAATCAACATGCAACAATCATTAGCATTTGCTACATTAGTAATTAAGTATCTGAGAAAGAAACCAAGAAGCAGGCTGGTCCATGGCACAGCTGGGCCCCACACTGCAACTGAGGTCCACATCCCTGGCCCAGTTGGCCTGAGACACTCAGGCATGCGTGTGACTGCCCAAGACCCAACAGGCCGGAGGACTGCAGGAAGGTGATTGTAGTGACTAGACCCTATGAAGGGTGATCGCCTCTCTCTCTCTCTCTCTCTCTCTCATACACACACTCACACACACACACACACACACACACACACACACACACAGAGCAATAGGTTCTGTTTGCTTCAGTTAGCACTGGCCTGAATGGGGATGAAAATCTCCAACCTTCTCCCATGTTTCTCTAATGTCCTATGGTTTTCAGTGAAGCCAACCTACAGGGGCAAGACTTCCCAGCACCCAACACAGGTAGGAGTGGGGTGGCTTGCTGTGGGGAGTGACGGTCACGGGAAGTAGCCAGAGCAAACTGCCCACCGTCCTGCTGAGGAACCCCAGCCCCCATTCCTCAGCTTCTGTGATGTCACACTGGAACATCTTCCCTTCTTCCCTGGGCTGTGGCTTCCGAGGCAGCTGTGGCTTTGGGGCTCTGGGAGCCAGCGGTGGGGAGGGAGCCTGATGGCTCTGATCTCCCCTGGGGGCACGGGAGGCCCAGCCATGCCCCTCATGAAAGAGCCCCAGTCCCCACCTCAGGTCTCACCTCCCTGGATGCTCCCGAGCCTGTTTGCCGCCTTCAATGTAGTGCTGCTGGTCATTTTCAGTGGCCTCTTCTTCGCCTTCCCGTGAGTCCCCCACGCAAGCGCAGGCGTCTTACAAAGAGGAACAGCTGATGACAGTATGGAGGCAGGGAACCAGAGAGGAGCGCAGAGGTCAGGGGAGGGATATTCTGGGCAGAGGGTCTAGAGTGCCTGGGGCATCCGGGGAACTGCAGGTGGCTGGTAATGCTGGTGACTTTTGGTGGAGCCTCTCTGGGTTTGTCATTAACCTGTTTTTTGTTTTTTAAGAGGTTTTATGCCGTAGGGCACGTGAACTCATCAGAGAGAGAGAGAGAGAGAGAAAGTGAGAAATCATCCCCAGGAAGGATGGCCCTGCCACAATTTTTAAAGTTTTTTGCTGTCACTGAGGCAAGACAGAA